AAAGAAAGAAAAACAATTGAAAAATTGTAATGCTGTTAAAGTAATAATATTCATGTGGTTGCTTGGTGGACGTAGCATCGTAGCATTGTATTGAAACAATTTTTTTTTTGTTTTTTCATATATATAGCACTGAAATAAAGCACGAAAAAATGTCCGGGTATGCTTTTGTTGTTTAAATCAAAGGTACGAAATTTTTGGTTATGACCACTCGTAGCTGCACCATCTTTGAGAATACTCTGCCCGAATTTCTCTTTTAGATCTGTTCCCCAGTCCAGCATGAAGAGCAGGAGGTGACGTCGGACGGAGGGGGGGGGNAGTCTTCCTTATTGTTAACGTATGCTTAGTTAAACCTTACAATACCCTGATTGTTTCTTTCAATGAGAATTCATTTTGTGAGAGCGTAATATTCTAGATGTCGTAGCTTGTAGCTCTGGAGTCGAATGAATGATTGCATTATTTAGAGAGCGGCCTTGATTGTCTTACTGTCCTGGATCAACGAGATTGCGATTCGCGTGCATTCCACGCTAATGTCATCTGCGCGACTTGTGAATCTTCCAATCTTGTATTATTTACGTTCCTATAGAACAAGTATCGTATATGGTTATTGTGATCCCCAAGTTTTTAGCTGAATTTCTTTTTTAAGTACGTTATGTAGTTCTCTTCTGTCACTGTCACCTTCTCACACAAGTATTTTGTTAATATTTGGATAAAAGCTAGTGTAAAGTAAAATCTCCACTTCTACCGTATCGTGGTTTGTTTGCAGCGAATGGCGGAATACAATCCATCTCAACATCCCCGACTTTTCTACTTATTTCTCTAATTTCTTGATAAAAGTATTGATCTTAATTGGCAATTTTATTCCCTGCAGAAGATTTTATTGAAGAAGTCATATAAGGAAGCGTGCATTGTTCCCCTCATTAATCTGCGTCTGCAAAACACACCCAAAAAGAATTGACAGTGTTGATAGTCATTCCTGAATACGCCCATTAAATGATTCTGTTATTACCAAAGGTTATTTGAATAGTGGTCCATATATACCAACGCAAGAACCCCATTAACCAATATACCAATGCAAGAACCCCATTTTGGGTTGAAATGTTAATTCGAATTATGTGAAATGTCCCGTATCAGATGATGACTTGAAACACGCTTAAGTAGGAACACATGGTACAGAAAATATGATACCCGTAAAAGAGAGTTTCGAAATGGTTCGTGGGTTTACGAATAAAAGTAACATAGAAAGATTCCTGAAATAAAACTAGTCGATTTAAATGATTAATGTTCCAGTGG